ACACTCCTCATTGCCTCTTTGCCCTGTGACCCCGACCAGGCTGAAGTGCCACTCGGTCACTGCACTACAGGACATGAGCGTCTCCCCCACAGGCTCGAAGCCTAATGCTCAGGCAGGACCTGGCCTCCAGGAAGGGCACTGGGGTGAACAGGGCCCCCCAAAGCCACATGGTGAGACCCTCCCATCAGGATCTTGCTCAGAAGTGACCAGTTAAGAGGAGGCTGTGAGGTCCTAATGAGAAGGCCATGTTGCACATGTCCAAAACGTCCCCCACAAACGTGCACAAGTATGTGTCAAAAACCGTAAGAAGAAAAAAATTTAAAGCCAGCCACATAGGCTTTGGGGAGGAAGGCAAGCAAGAACATGGCCGCGCGTCTCCCAGCCAGGGCGCTGAGGCGTGCGCAGCCTGTGTCTCTGTCCCTCAGGCCCGAGTGGGCCCGAGCAGCCCCATCCCACAGGCCTGCATCCCCCGCGCCCCGCTCACCGATGGCCGTGTTGGTGACGATCTCCTCCAGCAGGGTCTCGCAGGCGGCAGACTTGTCAGCCAGCACGACCTTCTGCTCGGCCAGCTTCTCGTTCAGCTCGTCCAGCTGCAGGGTGGCCTCCTTCAGCTTGTCCAGCCCGCCCTCCAGTCGCTTGCACTGAGCTGAGGACCCACAGAAAGCACTGGTCACCACCCCACAGCACCCCCAAGCCCTCGGGCACACGTTTGGCGCACCTCCCTGACTCGCCACGGTTACTGCCACGGGGCCCTTGTCTTCCACCCCAGAAGTGGCCTCCACCACAGTGAAGGTGAAGACAGCGCCTCCCGGGCCTGGTGGCACATGCCTGTCTTCCCAGCACCCTAGGAGGCTGAGGTAGGAGGATCATTGCGAGTTCCAGACCAGCCTGGGCTACATAGTGAGTCCAGGCCAGCATGAACTGCAGAGTGAGACCCTGTCTCAAAAAAACCCCTAAAAACCAGCAGCTCCCACACCAGAGCTCTTTCTAAACAGCCTCTGTCCACGGAACGCTTTGACCCCAAATAACACTGTGTGGTCAGCACTGAAAATAAAATCAGGGCATGCCTTGTCCTACCCATGAGCTTGCTGAGAAAAAACTACTTCAAAAAGAAGCCAATGCGGGCGTCTGTGCTGGTGCACACCTGTCTTCCCAGCATCCTGGGAGCCTGATACAAGAAGATAAAGAAAGCTTGAAGCCAGCCTGGGCAACTTAGCCATTTAGCAAGACCTGCTCTCTAAATAAAAAAATGAGCCAGG